CCACCTCAGCATTAGGAGGAACTTCTTGACAGTGAGAGCTGTTCAACAATGGAACACACTCCCTCGGAGTGTGGTGGAGTCTCCTTCTTTGGAGGTCTTTAAGCAGAGGCTGGATGGCCATCTGTTGGGGATGCTTTGATTTTGAGTTCCTGCATGGCAGGGGGTTGGACTGGATGGCCCTTGGGGTCTCTTCCAACTCTATGATTCTATGATTCTAAATTATTAAAATGTTTGTAAATTACTAATAAGGTCGCACCTACTTGCTTTCATTTTTAACTATCTCATTGCTGATTTCCACTATCCCTTCCCCAAATCTGTGTTTACTCATTCTTTCCAGCTGCAGCATTCTCTCTGTTGCCTGAAAGGTTTCTTGCTGTGACATGACTTTATAGTGAGTTAGACCACTTGTCCATCTATTCTGAAGACAGGCAACTTTGATGGGCTCGAGGGGGCAGCTCTTTTGCCTTGGGACCTTCAGGGGCTGCACACATTACCAAAAATGCCACAGAGGGAGTGGGAGTGATTGGAAGTCTAATTCTGCCTTTGAGAAACAGGCACTTGTAGTGCTAAACTGTTATCCTAGCCCAGACGTATTGTTGCTGATAGAGGCTTCTAGGAGAGGCAGATCACTTTTTTTTTCTTCTGCCAAAATAAGGAGAGTCTGGGAGGTTTGAGGGCCAGAGAAGTGACCAGTACTATCTACTTTTACTTGCAAAAGTTTTCAAGATGTAAGGGAATGAGAGAACTTCCTCAGTCCTGCCATCTCCTTTTTAAGTGAAGATGTTAAGAAATGAACATGGACTTCTCCACATGCCAAGCATGTCTTTTTCTTTGGCTCCCTTTTGCCTTCCTTTTTCTACAGTGGGCCCTTTGTGTCCACTGAGGTTTGGTTCCAGGAATCCCCACCCCCCATAGATACCAAAATCCATAGATGCTCGTCCCATTAGATACAGTGGGCTAGTAAAATAGTGTATGTAAAATGGCAGAATCAAGGTTTGCCTTTTAGGGTGGTTGAATCCATGGATGCAGAATCAGTGGATATGGAGAAACAACTGTTTTTGCCTTTTTTGATTATTTTAAAGTAATTTGAAGATAGAACAGCAGAGGTTCCTAAAGTTAAGGGTTCTGAAGGCAGCTGAAGTCACTTAGTCTCATAAATCATGGCTTTAAAAACAAAATAATAGAAACAGCTGAACATTACAACTAGATGCAAGTTTCATTTGGATAAATGGTACCTTAGACTTCATATCACAGATACAATGTTATTTTCCAAAAATAAGTCTTACATTCTAGTATCCATATTTGTGAATCAAATGTAACCAGGAAATAGAAGTCCAACAAGTTCTTTTAGTTGTACAGGTAAGTAATTGGATACGTAGAGTGAAGCTTTCAGCAGTCTACCTCCTCCCACAAACATTCTTTATGTAGCTTTCTTTTGATATTAAGAGTTCCCATTTCCCCTTTTTCTTAGGTACTGGCTTTGAAGGAGATCAGAACCTTGGAGTGCAGCTGACTGAACTCGGAAAAAGAAAGAGACAAATTTTACGTGGTGACCCACTTCCCCTCTCTAGGAAATCCTATCTAACGTGGATAGGATTTTCAGCAGAAGGTAAGATGATTGATTCCATACACACACATACACTACCACTGCCCCTGTTTATTCAGAAGCATCTATATTTGATTCGACTTCCAGTTGCTTCTGTGTGTGCAGGGAGAGGCAATTCTTCCCACTGCCCCACCTATGTAAACCAAATATTATATTTCGCATGATTCCCAAATGTTCCCCAGCCCTCATAAGCAGGGATACAGAAGGTTGGATTAGGGAGAACAACATTCCTTGAAATGCAACTCTGTTCCATTTGCAGGAGGGAAAAAACCCTTGCCATCCAAGCCACTAATGGTTAGGATGACTCTCATTGGCTGCAAATGTGGGGAAGGGCAGAAGTGTGACAGTGCTGTATGGACAGATGTAGAGATGAAAAGATTCATAAGGTCTCAAAAGAATTTTGTGACCAGCATAACTTAGAGTGGCTTGTACTAGGACTTTAAAAATTGCTCTTTAGATCTATATATTCTGAAGTATAGTCCAGGAAGTAAGAAGACTAGGAATGGGAAGGGCAGCTATGAAAGAACTAGAAAAGATCCTGAAATGTAAAGATGTATAACTGAGCACTAAAGTCAGAATTGTCAATACCATAGTATTCCCCATCACTATGTATGGATGTGAGAGATGGACAGTGAAGAAAACAGATAGAAAAAGAATCAACTCATTTGAGATGTGGTGCTGGAGAAGAGTGCTGAGGACACCGTGGATGACCAAAAAGTTAAATATGTGGGTCCTTGAACAGATCAAATCAGAAATCCCCTGGAAGCCAAGATGACAAAACTGAGGCTGTTGTACTTGGGACATGACTCACTCAAACAGACACTGAAGATTGGAAAGGTTGAGGGCAGTAGAAAGAGGAAGACCACATGCCAGATAGTTAGACTCAATCAGAGGCCACAGGACTTGAGCAGAGCAGAGGAGGATGGGGGGGCTTGGAGCTGTCTCATCTATGGGTTTGTTATGAGTTGGGGCTGACTCAGGGGCAGTTAACAACAGCAAATAGTCTAAAGTTTCACAAGTGTCAGTGTGTTAGAAGAGCTCTTTGTGTACACACAACTCACACATTCTTCTTTTGTAGTATTTGGAATGTGTTTTTTTGTAACACATGCATTGCTGTAACCATGCAGGGGCAGGCAAACTGTCCCCTTTAAGGGCCAAGGGACTTCAGCTCCCAGAATCCCAGACTATTGGCCAACATGGCTGAGGCTTCTGGGAGCTGAAGTCCAAAATCCCTAAGAGGGCTGAGTTTGCCTGCCCCTAGGTTTGTTGTGGGAACTGTTAAAATGTGAAAATAGAAGCTGAGAGAAAATGACCTGCCACAGGGAACCCAGAGGGTATTTTGTTTTACTCTATTGTGAGCCACCAAGGGCCCATAGAGAAAAGTAGGCTATAAATAAAATAAAACAAAATGTCACCAGCAACATGCTTTGCTAGCTGGAGGTGGTGCATGTAACATTGCTTTGGGAGTACCTTTGGCTGCTCTTGAAAATTACAAAGAGGCCTGGTAGTTGTTGTTTGAGCGTTGGATTAAAACTCCAAGAGATCGGGTTCAATTTCTGCTCAACCATAGAAACCCACTGGATGAATATGGTTAAGTCATACTCTCAGAGGAAGGTAATGGCAAATCTCCTCTGAAGAAAACTTGCCTAAAAAACTATAGGTTAGGATTACCAGAAGTCAGAATTGACTTGAAGGCATTTAACAGCAATAATACAGGAAAGAAGACCAGCATGTCCCTAGTTAGCTGGGGATGTTGGAGTTTGTAGTGCAACACATCTGAAGTGTGCTAGTGTGGGAAATGCTGCTCTGAGATATGTTGTACCTGTTTAACTTGAATTCCATTACTACAGACTACCAGAAGGTGGTGGTATTTCCCAAATTAGCAACAGATGTATTGATTCTCTTCCAAAGATTCACATTTCTTAATTTTCAAAGACAGTAGAGAGGTTATCGAATCAATTTCAGCCCTTGAATCAAAATAACAGCTTTAGAAGAAACTTACTCTGTGTGTGTGTTGCTAATGAACAGGCACTCCTTGTTATGTGGATTCAGAAGGCATTGTACGGATGCTGAACAGAGGGCTTGATAATACTTGGACTCCAGTCTGTGACACAAGGGAGCACTGTAAAGGAAAGTCCGATCACTACTGGATTGTTGGTATTCATGAAAACCCTCAACAACTCAGGTAGGAAAATAACTTTGTATTGGTTATTTCTGTCTTTTACTAACATAGAAGCTGAAAAGGACAGCCTTGTTCAGCACAGAAATTTTTAAACAGATGTGTCCAAACAAGGAGTCCTGGTTTAAATTAAATGACCTTAAAAAAATCAATGCTCCTGGGTTTTTTAAATTGATTATTCATTTTTTTTTTTTTTTTGAAAAATCTGGCAGTTATTACTAGCTTCCATCCCTCTTACTGGAACAACAATGACTATTCTTCTTCGTGGTCTCTGCGAATCACACAAATGGGTATTCACT